CGCATCGCATACTTTAATCCGTCATCATTTGTTACAAGATATACTTTAAAAAATGCACCTAAGATATGAATATTTTTTAATATTAAAGGTAAAATGATGTTAAAGATCTTTTAATTACATTATATCTAATATAATATGATTATTCATTATAAAATTCCATTATAAAATTTATATTTATAATTTCCTATTTTCCACATTTTAATGGATAAAATGAAGAGAAAAAAAATATATTTATAAGAGAAAGTATTTTATTTTGATCAACTGACCTTCGCCGAGCGCTTTTTCAGTCTTCCATTTTTTTCCTCGTAATTCCATTGGCATAAAACTTTCATCGATAACAGCATCATCAGGATCATCACAATAGCTAAATTGATTACATCCAAAAGCATAACCGTTGGCCATAATTTGTTGTTTGATTACCGTGTTTCTAAATTAGTCTGAAAAAAAGTGAAATATTTAAATAGTGTCAAAAATAACATTTCTGATAAACACAAAACTTCACATTCCACGCATTTATGTTTTCTTCCGTTTTTAGATACCGAATGCTTTTGAACTAACTAATTTCACAATTTTTTGAATACTACTGCTACAACTGTGCCGTTACGAAAATATAGCATGCCGATATCCAACTCTTACCACAGGAAATCAATTTGATCATTCAAATTCATCGATCAGTTTTTTTTTCCTGACTTATTGCTGGTCACAGTTCTTCCTACCTGTTGCTTCCAATACTTTCACTTGATTGATACAAGAGAACAATCGATATGTATCCTTCACCTCTCGAGGTTACAAATTGAATAAAGAGAAGCATTTAAATGTTTTCAATCAGCCAAACAGATGAAACAGACATAAGAAGAGAGCATGACCTCTGGGATCTTGCACGCATATCTCTCATTCCATCATCTCTTTTTTTAAGTGTTGAAAATGTCGACACTCCAAGTATACGCATATCGCAGTACAATTCATACCATTCCCTCCAAACTCTCGATTGCCGGAATAATTCATCAAATTCATTAATATCAAAGTTGACTGTTGAAAAGTGATAAATACATTTCATTTCAAAAATAAATATGCTATAAAATATTGTGAGATATGGTATGAAACGTCGTACATATCCCACCCATAAATGACGCAATCGTTACGCGGCCCTTCCAATGTGATCGACAGGCGGCATTCGTCCTTTTCAAATACGGTAGGCAATCACCACAGATGAATGTATATGTATTTATACGATTCTTATTCGTGCGATTACTTCTTAATAATATTTCGAAATAATACACAAAAATCAATTAGCTTGTACAAATAAGCAAAAAGTAAAATTGCTAAGATGAAATGTTTCAACATGAACCAGTAATTTACGCAATCTTTTGTTCCAAAAGGTACATTATTTTTCTACAAAAAGACATTTTAATCTTTAATTGATTATATGACTCCAATTCATTACTTCAATTTGCAACTCTGTAATCAATCATTTCAGCTAATAAACAATGATTACGATGAATTCCTCTTACATCTGAATGATTTTACATTCTGAAAACTGTCATCTCATTTTACATGCATGCATTATCGATGTTTTGCTTGTTGACGGGTAGAATAAAATAAAAAATGACCGTCTCTGATGTCTCAGTGTCGAGAAGTTGTTGATATTTTGGCATATTTTTGATAAATGAAAGAATGTGAAATTAAGCAACGAATATGATGTTAATGAACGAGAATGTACAACTCGCACAACTAATGTTTATTTTACAAAAACATCGGAAATGAATGATTGAATGAATTATTACGCATGACCACAGCATTACTCCGTTTATTTATTACAAAAGAATCATAAGGCAATCTTTTGTACAAGAAATAAAATAATCACACCTAAACCATCGGCAAATTTAAATATAAAAAGTTAATTCTACTTCTGTATCATTTTATAATGGATGAAAAGGAGAAAATTTCCATTTTTAACGTAAAAAGAAATCCAAAAACCATGTACACATATTTTCTATAAAAATTACAATTAGGAATTAGTATTTTCATCTAGTAAAAATACATGTGTCTAAAATCAATATACAACAAATAAAAACCTTTAATAAAATCCCTCTCCAGTCTGAACCATCAAATTTCTACCCAATTTTGAGTTACACTTAAAACAGAATCCCGAAGGTAATCTTGAAGTAAAATAATGGTTCCAACATAACCGAAAATTTTTTATATTTTATTTAAAATAAAAAAAAAATCTTCCAAGTATTTTTCAGAACTTTAACTAAAGCTGTCAGTATTATCTGACACCATAACAACGATTAACTTATGTGCTACTTCGAGATGGCGCATAACTTGCTCCAGCCAACGTAGTTTCAACAGATGACAACGCATAAGCGTGTAGGAGATCCGTATCTGGTGTGTAATTCACCGTTTTTACGGGATGTTTATAATGGTATTGTTTGATGAAACTTTTCAGTAAAATCGGCAAATTCAATTCTTCGACACCGTCATAAGTCGTCAAACTTGCTATGCGAGCACGACAAAGATGCTGAAACAAATATAATATTTCGTGGTATGAATTTTTAAAGACTAAAATATAAATTTTATATATTTGACAATAAAACATACAGCAATTACGTTGAAATTGCTGCTCAAAAATTTTTAATAATTAAATACAATCTGTTAGTAATGACTTTGTAATAATATGAAGTGTGTAATATCAGTTGTCAATTAACTTCATTTAATTTCTTTCAAAGATATCAAAAATATATATATCCTTGACCTGTAGTGGGAAAACAAAATTTCTTGGCAGCGGCACCGATAATTGTGGTTCAAAAAATAAACATCTGAAAGTCGATATTTAAAGAGAGATACAATATTAAACTCCACTTTACTGTAAACATCAGCTATGATAATACAAGAAAGCCAGTTAATGAAGATTAAGAAATTGAATATAATAGAAATATCTCATTCAATATCAACAATTTATAGTTTTTGTCCCATCGTAAGGTACTTTTTTGTTTCATATTTCTAAAATCTTACTTGACTGGATCTTTATAATATGCTATAAGTGTAGTTATTGTATTTGCAGAATAAATTGATGGCTCGGAAAAATCAAAACTGAAGCGATGATTTTTTTGCTCAATACGTGCATGCAGCGTGCGCTTGTATCGACGAAACGATACTGAGAATAAATACTCTGATTGTGCACTGTCACGTAACAAAAATGTGCCTGAAATGCTTAGAATTGAATTGTATCTTATACAGACTCTTGAAGCAGCACTATTAAAAGATTGTTAATGGCAAGCAAAGTTGTTTATAATATCCCTGAATTGTAAAATCACAGTTTTAAACAAATTATGATATCAAAATCACAGATTTTTTAAAAACAAGAATTTCTCATAAAATTTATAATAATTGATTATTCCAGAATCACAGCAGATTTACTGTCAATCGTATAATTAACAATTCATAGAAATTTACCCTCTGGTTTATTGTCCAGTAATGCTTCCGCCTCATAACGATCCATAATACCCCAGTAATACGGCGAATCAATAATTAAATCCAGTCTTGGTACGAGACAATTTCTATAGTGAACTGATGTATGCACTATGTAAGGCTCATCCTTCGGTACCAGACCTATAAAAGGATATGCAGAATGAATTGTTGTAAAATATGGCTAGCGAAAGTCACAGTTTTCATGATTTTAAATATTAAATGCAAAGTTCTCTATGTAAAAAAATTAAGATTATACCTTGAAACAGTGTTCGTGTAGCTGGTTCTGGTTGCTCAGCACCAATATCAGTAGCAAGAAGAAACCTCAAGCGACAATTTCTGGCAGCTGAAAAAAAACAAAAACTTAATAATTAAACATCATTTAAATTTCAATAAGAAAATCATGAGCATTATAGATTAATGTAATAAGCTTTATACATGATAAATCAAGTTCAGGCAATAATCGTAACTGAAAAACTGTTCGAAAATTTTTAAAATATATCTTAAACCATCAACCGATACACGGTATCAGATATGTAAAATAGGTGAATGATTAAGACATTTCAAAACGACATCGCATCAGCTTAGATACTTCTTGGGTAGTATCGTGTGAAATAACAGATCGGTTAAATCATCTGTAGAGCAAAATAACACAACGAAGTAAACATGTTAATGCTCAAAATACATCAATATACCTTGCATAGATTGTTGAGCATTCACTTCAGAAGAAACAGTAACATCTCTCATTTCTACACTCATTCCTGTTCCTTCATCCACATCTAATTTTTCATCATCAGTAATATTTATTGGAAAACATGATAATAACGCCATATGAATGCGCCTGAAAAAGAAAATGAGAAAAACATTTATTAACATAACCAACAAAATCAACAAAATTGAATTTGCATCTTCTGACAATAAAATAATTTTTTGAATTTATTTTAAAATGCTACCAGCATAGAATGAACAATAAAATTAAATCAACTACAATTAATACATAACGGCATATTAGCATCACTGAAAATTATATCCACGGATATTTTAGACTTCCTTAAAATTTTCAAAACCATAAAGCGTTATGCACTCAGTGTTCTTAGATATGATACGCAGAGCCTCTACTAATGAATTAAACAATTCTTATACATTAGCAATCATATATTATCATATATAATCAAAATAAATCAAGTAGCTAAAAAAACCGAAGAATGGTAATAAAAACAAACTGTCATAATGAACTATATGCTAATAGCTTAAAATTATAGGAAACAAATAATCAATCGTCAAATATGTTCTACCAAAGAAACTGTATTTTCTTACCTTACAAGAATATTACTTTTTCTCGAATATGCTTGCATGGAAGACTTTATTATCGTTACAAAACCGATCGATACGTTGAAAAAAAAACGTTGATAACGTCAACAAAATAATAAAAAACTGCAATGCAAATAGCAACATATCAATTTCTTGAAATGATATTTTTCGATAAAAAACAAATTTCAATGACAAGGACAGTTCACTCCCCAATAAATTTTGAAAATAAGTCATTGTGGCTGCTTAAAAAACTATGATATTAGTTCAACCAATAAAACAGAATAAAATGACAGAATGTTTCTTTCAAAAGATTAATTCATAGTTTTCTTCAACATATCACCATAATCAACATGATGTGCCGCACTGACACGCGAAAATGGAACTGATAAACAAATTTTAAAGATTTTAGCAAAATGGATTCTTATGACATTTAAGTGAAAGTAATAGGTGTAAAAAGCCAGTTATTATAAATGAATAAAAAGGATATAAATTCTAATTTTTTTCGAGGAAATCTAGAGAATGCTGAAAAAATTCCAATAAATGCTTGATCCAATTTTGATGCCAAACGTAACATTACTAAGAAATATTCGGCAATCAACCGATGCATCAAACTTCCAAATTAGATTCTATTTGTTATAATAGCAGTTCTTAACTATTCGTTTAATCCAAATATTTGGTGTCATTAGTTTAGATCAACCTATTTCATAACCAACCCATCTTAATAAAGATTCTATTTGTTATAATAGCAGTTCTTAACTCTTCTCGACTTATTTAAAATTTTCTTGCATAATAATAAATCGTAGTACAGTTTGCAACTTGCACAGCATATATAATTTTAATACGTTTTGGATTTCATCCTAAGTTAATACTGAATAACCATATAAAGAGATAAATAACAGGAAAAAAATCTTATACCTTACAAAATTACTTTTTTTGATATTGTTGCATGCGTATATCCAAAATTCAATATTTCCTCTGCAAAAGAAGACAAAAATTAGCATAAAAAGAATAAAATTTCTTTAGAAATTTTAATTCTACAAAAAATATTAAAACAAGTTTTTCAGATGTCATGACTTATTCA